TCTAATGTAATTAAGTATTAAATGATATTTAATATGAAACGTAGTGCAGTAAAAAGTGCAATATTATGCTTTGGAATGTTATGAAGTAAAGTTTTCTGAAGAAAAACACTCTGATAAAGTACTTTTACAGCAGAGTAAAAATACTTCACTACTGCATGCACAGCGCTGAACTCATACGTCATCCTCCCGGAACTGTTTCCGTGTACAACAGTGAGCGCAAGCTACATTAAAGTGATTATTACGTTTTGAATATGGATATTTTTCTTACAAAAGGCCAGGACAATTTTTAATATAACTCCGACTGGATTCGTCGGAAAGAAGAAAGTCACATACACCTAGGATGCCTCGGGGGTGAGTAACACGCAGCCTAATTTTCATTTTTGGGTGAACTAACCCTTTAAGGGGTTAAAAGTAAAGAAGGGGTGAATATCAGCTGCCTTTCAGTCAGATAAAGACATCTTTATTCTCCCAGTGAATGTCTGCTTGCATAAACAGAATCCCTTCTGGACTTACACACACACACAAGCACACACACAAGCACGCACGCACGCAAACACGCCCGCCTGTGAATATCTGTTAAACTGTAATTTACTCCAGTGATCAAAGCTGTATTTTCAGCATCATTACTCCAGTCTTCAGTGTCACAAAAACAAATATTTCACAATTTTACTGTATTTTTGATCAAATAAATGCAGCATTGTTGAGCAGAAGAGACTTCTTTCAGAAACATAAAAAAAATCTTAATTATTTCTTGTGTTATCAGAATATTGATCTAAATGTGTGTGTGTGTGTGTGTGAGTGAGTGAGTGAGTCCCATTATTATTATGCACATATACTGTACGGCTAATGTATTTTCCAGTAAGTCATGTTTTTATCATTAGAAACATGCTGCAAGTTATGCAATGCAAATAACATCAAGCACACAAAACATGCTTAAAGCCACTAGATTCAGTTTTGCTTTAAATAAATTAATAAATAAATTTGTCATTTAGGCTTAGTGTTTAAAATAAATGTTTCTAATGAATAACACTATAATTTATGCTTGTTTTTTGCTTTTGGTTCCTGTTCTGAATAAAATTAAATGTAAAGGATTTGTTGCAGAGTGAGAGGAACTAAAATACATGTTTATAAAATGTTTTGTTTTGTTTACCAACATTATTTCTGAATGTAATAATGACTTGTGTGTGAATAAGTGTGTGTGTGTGTGTGTGTGAGAGAGTCTGTGTGTATCTGTGTGTGTGTGTGTGTGTGTGTCTGTATTTGTTTATCTGTGTGTGTATTTGTGCGTGTCTGTATGTGTCTGTGCGTGTGTGTGAGTGCATGCGCGCGTGTCTGTGCGTGTGTGTGTGTGTGTGCGCACGTGTCTGTGCGTGTGTGTGTGTGTGTGTGTGTGCACACGTGTCTGTGCGTGTCTGTGTGTGTGTAAGAGTGTGTGTGTGTGCGTGCACGTGTGTGTGAGTGCATGCGAGAGTGTGTGTGAGAGAGTGTGTGTGTGTGTGTGTGTGCGTGCGCTCTCACTGGACTCTGCAGGATCATGGAGACTCTCTTGCGCTGCTCCATCATGTTGAAGTCCTGCCGCAGGTCCGGCGCCATGTTCCTCTCTCTCTGGTACTCCGGGCTGCTCTCGTCCACGCGGTCGAAATAACGCTCCTTATGAGGGGGGTTGGTGGGCGGGGGGGCCGTCACCACCCCTGCACCTGAGTCTCCGTTCATCACACACCTGCAGCACAGGTCAAAGGTCAGCGGGGAATTTGCATACTTCAGCTTACATTTTGATGCTCATTTGATTTTGAGGTGAAATCCGATCCGGATGTGAGATTGACCCACTAAGAGCCACTTTAAAACGGTTTAACGGCATGAGAGACAGAATGCTGCACAGCGGGAGTGTGCGAGTGGTTATAACGGCCCATTTACTGTCGAGTGCTCTGGACATAATGCACTTTCTCCGTCCATTAAGCAGTCAAGACAAACGTGTCCAGGAGAGAGAACAGAGGACACTGAGCTTCATTGCAACTGAAACAGACACTGCTGTTGCCATAGCAACCGGACCATCATTATCACACAGATGCAGCGATTAGATTAATGAAACTAGTTAAGCTCTACATAATGCATCTGTCATGCTGTTATATATCACAGAAAATAAATAGACTATAAATAGTGTATCGAACAATAAAAAAATTCTCTCAAAATTCTGACATTTTTTCCTCACAATTGCATGAATTTCCAAGATATGAACTCACAATTTATACAATTTTGTATTTCACAATTCTGATTTTATATCGGAGATTTGCGAGAAAAAAAAAAAAAAAGTCAGAATTGTAGGATAAAGTTACAATTATCTACTCAAAACCTGAAAAATAAAAAATTGTGACCTGCATGATTTGGGGGTGGAAATTAAATTTTTCTGATAAAAATTGTGATTGTGATTTAAAATGTCATTTTAAAACAGCTCCAGGTTTGCAGGACTTATTTGTAGGGCAGCGATAAATATGACTAAAATAAGAATTTTATTTAATAAGATAGATTGAGAGGAGAAATTTAACAGTTTTCTCATTTTAATTATTATTATTTATGTAAAGTTAAATTATTACACACACACATAATTGTATCATAAGTATTATTTATTGACATTTTTATTTTGCCTGTGAGCACATACAGGAGACAAACCAACGCAAAGATTAAGTCTCAAGCACTTCTAGACCTTCAGGAGAAGTATTATTTATTTATTTATCATTACATAAAAATATTACGCAATAATAAATATTGATATTGTAATATTTCACTGTAAAATAATGAAAAATAGAAAATATAACAATAATACAGGACTTTAAAAAGCTTGAGCATTTAAAATTAGACGACAAAACTGCAACCCGTGATTATAATAAACAAACGTATCATCCTCTGGCCAGCAGTCGTTGTTGTTGGTGTGAACGTGCCTTTAGTGATGGTGTACATATGCTCAAGAGCATGGCCGGACTTACCATTGGGCTTAAGTGTGCTGCAGCCCATGGGCCCCGCCTTTGCCCGTTTACGTTTGTTTGATTTGTTCGTTATATGCCAGTCAGAATTCAGAAATTATTAGCCGCATTATCTTACCACTGCGCACGCAAGATCTAAACGGGCCAGCCGGGGCTACAGCTTACAACTACGACCTTCGAGGCCACAATCAAACAGCATAAACTGGTATTTATGATAATTCCACATAGAAGAAGGACACACGTATTGAATCACGTCTGCACCGATTGGTTTGATCACATGGCTACTCTAAACAGCTCCATTAAGCCTTTAGCCCCAAAAGAGCGCACATTTAGAAAGATAATGATAAATTCTCAAATGTTCACACCTCATTTACTTACAGAGGATGATTCTATATTACTATATTAATGTTCCACTAAATTATGCGATCATCTGATGAGTTTTGAGCGCTCTCTTTCATCTTACTGCTATTACACATAGTGGGGAAGAAATGTCATCAAAATGATTTTAAATAAGCAATTTAATGAGTTTGTTTTTATAACATAGCTATGCCTATGATATAGGACTTAGCCCATCACAAAAAAAAAAGTCTTTTTTATATCTGCACGATCGCAAATGTACAATAAACAACAACTTACAGAGTAACGTTTTGCTCCGTCAGAAAGAAAATCGAACAAACAGCAGAACCGCTGCGTCTCCGAACAACCGTGTTTTGTTCCTCAGCGTTACACGGACCAGCAAATGATTCAATCAGGGTCGTGTTTAGTCACTATTTAGTGTGGTATTTTTTGACAATATTCACTCATCATGACAGTAAAATAGGGCATTCTAAGTCAGTATACTGCAGTATTTCCTCTCAATCATAGAAAATATGGCTAACACCCGGTCATGCATGAAAAAATAAATACCGTCATGTACCGTGAAACCGGTATAATTTGTAAAAATACCGTGATATAAATTTTTGGTCATACCACCCAGCACTAAGCCTAGACATGATGCATATTAATTGTACTATTTATGAACCTCAAAGCATGTTTGTGCATTTTGTGTTACTCCATAATGATGTTCTATTTGAGGGCATTTGTAGTGTAGGTATAGGGCCCAAACATAACCTCAAGCCCAGGGGCCCCCGCACCCGGAAGTCCTGCTCAAGAGTATTTGCAGGAGAATCGATGACACTGAAGGGCAAAGACAGAGCTGGAAGTCAGTCTGACTCAGCATTATTGATCGTCTAAAGTTGTTTGAATGCTAAGTGGTTCGTTGTTGATGTTTCAAAGCCAAATGAACACGGACCGGCTGCTACAGAACATTTCCATCCTCTACTAATAATTTATCTTCCTTTTTCTTAAATATGCAATTTTGACAAATATTACAGCAGTAGAGTAGCATTTCTTGTTTTGTTTAATATTTATAAAATGGGTATTTAATAATAATAATAATCATTTTATTTTACGGTACAATTGTATTAATTACCAGTATTATTATTAATATTATTTTTCTTAAATACCTGATTTTTTTTAGAGGAATATTGCTTATTTTGTTTAATATTTTATTTTACAGTACAACTACAGTAAAATTACAATACTAATATTTCTCAATTTTTTCTTTTTCAAACGTTAAACTAGCTTTAATTTTGGTTAAAAACTGCAGGGAGCCGTTATAGTTTCTCTTTGGTTTGGTTTATAGCAGGGATGCACCGAAATGAAAATTATGAAAGAGTTTTTTCCCCCATGTATTTTGCCAATTTTTTTCACCACTGCACAAATTAAATAGCCCAAATGTACTTTTTACTGTTTTGTCTTGCTTTTCAAAGAATAAATCTATTACAAAACAACAATTTAAAAGTATTTAACACTGAACATTTTTTTACATTCTAGCAGACATTATAGTTATACCAACACAGCACAATTTAACTTAAAATTAATAAGTTAGTAAAATAATATTTTTTGGCCATCAGTCCCCCTTCTTGAATCAGGCATGT